AAGATTTGAAAATAACCAGACCTTAGGTCTACCTTAGAAAAATATTTAGCCCCTTGTAGCTCATCAAGTAGTTCATCTATCATAGGTATTGGGTAATCATGCTTCACAGTTAAACCATTGAGGTACCTGTAGTCCACACATAACCTCCAAGTGGAGTCCTTCTTTTTAACCAAGATCACTGGTGAGGCAAAAGGACTTTTACTGTCTTGAATAATACCAGAATCCCACATTTCCTTCACTATTTTCTCTATTTCCTCCTTGTGGCTGTGTGAGGACCTGTAGGGAAACTGATGTTTAGGTACACTATTAGGTTTCAATGTGATTTGATGTTCAATCCCCCTGCTTGGGGGTAGTCCTTTTGGTTCTTGAAAGATGTCTTCAAACTCTAGTAATAGAGATTCTACTTCTTGGGATTGAACTTGATGATCAGGTTTCCCAATAGCCACCCAATAAACTTCTTCAACTTCAGTGTGGGCCTCTTCATGCATTAATTTGAAGAGTGTGGGCCCTGTGATGACTTTACAAATAGCTTCTGACTTTAGGGCCTGAATTTTTGTCCTCTTCCCTTTGAGAGTCACTGTAAAACTCATTTTGTCATAGTCAAGTTCAATGGGAGTACAACTCTTAAGCCAATCACCACCTAGGATCATGTCACAGCCCACATTATCCAACACCCTTAAGGAATAAGTGAATGTGTGTCCTTGTATCTTCCATTGAAACCCCTCCACAATTTTGTTGCTGAGCATTCTCTGTCCATTGGCCACCCTCACCATGATTGGTTTAGCTGACTTTAGAGTTAACCCCAAGGAGTTTGCCATGCTTGCTTGGACAAAACTCAGGGTACTACCTGAGTCTATCAGTATGTGTAATTTTTGATTTCCAGAATCCCCATAAACCCTCATGGTAGTTAGGCCATCTTCACCAGCAATAGAGTTCAAAGACATTTGAATTTCTTCTAGCTTTTCCTCATGTTCCACCTGAACATCTAAGCCCTGTTGAGCATGTAGGTAATTAAGCTCCTCATCTTCTGTCATCATCATGTAGTGCAACCTGTGTTTACATCTGTGGCCATAAGTAAATTGCTCATCACAGTTGTAACACAACCCTTTCTCCCTTCGGGCAGCCATTTCAGCTGAGGTGAGAAGTTTGATAGGAGCCTTCTGTGGGTAGGGTGTTGGTTTGGCATTGTAGTTATGAGTACCCTCTACCTTCTTGGGTGTTTGAAAGGTAGTTGAGTATCCCTTGTTTGGACCCTTTAGTCTTTTGGTGATTGCTTCCAATGTGACCAATTGTTTCTTGCCAAGGTCAATGGTCTGTTGGAGAGTTACAGGATTGAACATGTGAATAAATGCCTGTAATTCTTCAGACAAGCCACTGATGAAACTTGCAATGAAGTATTCCTCTGTGTATTCCTGGTTCAGGCTCAACATGCAGGCTCTCAGCTCTTCAAACTTTTCCACATAGTCTGTATAAGAAC